TAAGGTTCCCTGAAATGCTAATGTTCAGAAACCTCAGACTTGTAACTGTCAATCATTCGCCACAGATGACCGGGTAAGCACTTTCACGCACCCGGCTCTACACTTTGTACACGTGACTTCTTATTCTGTATTTTACCTTTTTACACACGACACTTAGATTCTTGCACACGACTCCAGCAGGAAGTGACGTGACCCTTTGAGATGGAAGATTTTCATTGGTTGAGCTGTTCAGTGACGCTCATATTTTATTAATTCCTAAGCCTCTAGAATCCTATAAATACAGCAGATTTTCCCTAGCTCGTCGGTCACGTGCGGCGAACCAAACCTTTGACGCGAGAGCGGAACCTAACGTAGTGCAGCGGTTGGACCCTTTCCGAGAGAAGTGCGATAGTAACCATATGAATGGCCAGCTAGCTATAGCCCGATGCGAGAGCGGTACGAATTAGCTCGGGGTGTTAGCGAGAGTCGTAGCAGCCCGTCACCGCTACGTCCGAACCGATCGCCGGGCGAGACACCCCCGTGTCCCTCGCCACCCTTGTCCTGCTAACTAGCCCAGTCCTCCCCGTCTCTACGCTGAGCCAATGATACACAGTGCGGCGATCTTATCATTGCGCTCAACCCTCTGCGGCCTGAGCGGCAGTGCGGTGGGTACATACCGGCGCTGGCCCCGTCCAGCCCTTGCTAGTCACCGTGGTGGTCCGGGACAGCTCCCACCACGGCCCGGCCCGATGAGTGTAGCCTAGCTGTGCGATGCTACACACTCGTACCGTGACCCACTCCGTCTGACTTGCATTTCCAATGGTCCTGCCAAACTGTAGTTTAGTTACACTCGTATACAACTTCCCCTCTCTATAACTTTGCTTTTTGTGTGTTGTATTATGTTGAGCTACACCTTCTTCAAACCCACATTGAACTTTGATGAAGAGAAGTGAGAGCAATAAACCAACAATACAGTTTGACTGTCACCCAAACCCCTTGTTTCTCGTCCACCTTTTAATTAATAAATTGTTGACCCCCAAATATCACATCCCATAGACACTAATAAAATCCACGCTACCACCGACTTGATATTTAGGGAACGCAACAGTATATTTACCTTGAATTCATGTTGCTTTTCTTTGGCTAGACACACAGCCGTGGCTAGGCCGATTCCAGATGAGCAGCCAGTGATCAGTACGACTTTCGGCGCCATTTTGTTGCTTGTTTCACACGGAGCAATCGTTTTTACACTTGTACTAGAATTTTGCGGTATGTGCCTTGTAGACTCGTATGATGTGATTTCAGCATAACAGTCACTTGACCGTTTGAACCACACGTATGCATTTGCTCGATTATAGGAAGGAAAATGACAATGCTTGTTCCTGTTTCCTTCCCAGGGTGCCTTTTTCGAACATTGTGCAAAATAACCCACGCGATGGTAGCAATAAAAGCTAGCTGATATAACACGATTATTTATGGTGGCCCTGAAGGGACATAAAAATTTACGACTCGTCACGAATGTGCGATGTCGTGATTTATTCACAACTAGTCGTGCATATTTTGCGATGTCGTACATTTTGTCACCACATTTTTCCATTAGCCTGGAGGGTAAAAAGTGTTTTTATAACAAACGGCAAATACATGATCATAAGCGCCTGCCTAGCCTGATGATGAGTATCCTGCACAATGGATGTACAGCGGTGCAGTGACCACGCACGTGTACTATTGTATGATTGTCCACATGCGATGCCTGCAAGTGGAAAGTGAAACTGTGCATTGAGAAAGAAACAATGGCATTCGGAAACGATCGACATGTCTAAAAAAAAAAAAGTTTACTTTTCACGTGGCTCGTTGCATTGTTTCCAAGAGCTAGGTCTAGGTCTTCACCACACTGGAAATACGCAGAGACGCACAGACAACAGTCCTAGCGGTAGCTCTGGAAGCCTGGTTCGGACGGTCTTAGAAAACCTCTGTGTGCCGGTCGGGCAAATGTCGAAACCTTCAAGTTACAGAAAAAATATTTGCGAATAAATGCACGACGTTACAAAAATTTTTGCGAATAGTCGTGAATAATTTTGTGACGTCTCAAATATTATTCGCAACAAGTCGTGAATAAATTCACGACGTTGCAAAAAAAATCAAGACTAGTCGGACCAACAGAGCGCGCTTGCAAATGTCCAGGAGCCAAGCCAGCTGTATGAGGGTCTTATTCTAAGACTAGAGCGGGAAATTCGTGCAGCAGAGTCTGTCTGTAAAAACCAATAATCATTCTGTGTAACAATTATAATTATAGACCCACATGACTACCGTATGACAGGCATAAATTGGACAGTTTTGATATTAATGCTTTATAGTAATGCTATGAAATGCGAAATTATTGCATTATGCTAAACTATTAGTAAAAGATCTCTCCATGGACGATATTGAAGTGATAGTTATAAGGGAAACTTTGGTGGAGGTCACCAAAACAGCAGTGACTAAGCTCCGAGCGTAAGTACTCCCACACTCACCGTAGCTGTGGGTCGCGGAAACTTCCGTACCGAGAAGGCTGAAAATACTGTGTGGGGTAATGGGATAGTTGTTTTGACGGAATCTCCCCTGACTGCTGCTAGGGTGGAAAACTGAATGATGCTGTAAGTCGCGCTTTAGCGGGGTGAAGCATCTGCTTGCACCCTCCATCTCCAAATATGGATCACAAGGAATCGTGAACGGAGGAATAAATGATTGTGATCTCTTATCGGCTTGGTCTCTACATAGATTGTGTGAGTAAAGTTATGGATCGCCTGCAACAAGACCCACAAATCATGCACCCGAACTCAACACTGGGCAGATATTTGCACCCGAACGCAACACTGGGCAGATATTTGCACCCGACCGCAACACTGGGCAGATATATGCACCCGAACGCAACACTGGACAGATATTTGCACCCGAATGCAACACTGGGCAGATATTTGCACCTGAACGCAACATTGTGCAGATTTTTGCACCCGAATGCAACACTGTGCAGATATTTGCACCCAAACGCAACACTTGGCAGATATTTGCACCCGAATTCAACACTAGGCAGATATTTGCACCCAAACGCAACACTGGGCAGATATTGGCACCCGAACGCAACAGTGTGCAGATATTTGCACCTGGATGCAACAGTGTGCAGATATTTGCACCCGAATGCAACAGTGTGCAGATATTTGCACCCAACGCAACACTGGGCAGATATTTGCACCTGGATGCAACAGTGTGCAGATATTTGCACCCGAATGCAACAGTGTGCAGATATTTGCACCCAAACGCAACACTGGGCAGATATTTGCACCCGAGCGCAGCACTGGGCAGATCGACTCCTTTGATCGTGTTGCAGCTTTTATTCAATGTGCACTTTGAAAATTACATTATGAAGTAATTAGTATTTGGCATTCAGCCATAGAAATTAAGCCTATTTGGCATTCAGCCATAGAAATTAAGCCTATAGGCCTGCCCGTAGAGAAAGAATCATCTCGCACATGAGAAGTACATGAGGTCTTGACCGACCTCACACATGCACTGGACACAGTGGAACGTCCCACAATGCAACAAAATATTTCCTTTACAAAACATTTTCCACATACAACAGCAGAACAAAAACTAAATCTTCAAATGAAATATTTGCAAATCATTTAACATTTCAGTGTTTTAGTGCAAGAAAGGTGCAAAGAAACTATTTGAAAAGCAACTTCCGTAAACAGTTTTACCTGATACTATGCTTAATACTACAGGGCCGGTGAAAAAAATGAACATTCTTTTAAAACTTATCAATTCAGGACAAAGGCAACGTGCTCAAGAATTATTGACCTCAGACTTTTCTTTTCATTTCCCCTGCCCTTATTCTGCATGGGTTTGAACAATGCCATTTGACGAGTACGGATAATGCAAGCATGTAGAACAGGACGTCAATGCCTTTAACGAAAATCTTGTTCCTTTGGGAGTGGGGGGTGGTAACAACAATCCCCTGCCTTTGCTCCCGTTTTTTCTTTCACCAATATTGGTCCAAGTCTGTTCCATCCTCTTAAAACGCAGCATATCACCCACAGACGTAACAGAGAAATCTTCACCGCAATAATCCGTCAATTTGAAGGAGTTCTACATTTTACCAACCGGTAGCGAGCCATTACACTGTACCAAGTTTTATTGACCAAAAGAAAATCTCCCTGAGATATTTTTCCTTTCAAAACACTTGAAAATATTATTCAAATGGGTCCTTGGGGTATAATTTTTTTCTCTTTTTAACAGCAAATTGAAATTAAAGAATAATGGTACCTATATTCACCGATCAATAAGGATTAATTAATGACCAATTATAACTATTCTTCGACAACTGGAATGCATAAACTGATTGGAATCAGGAATAAATTACAAAACACCACTTCAAATAAAGACGTTGTGAATTGCTAGGATCCGTAGGGTGGTTTTTATCTGCGTTTTATTGCTTTAGCACATTTAGCAGAGCGTCAGTGGTAGGATCTTTTAGTTTAGCAGCAACAAACTGAGTCGTGGCCTCACTGGTCTGGTACCGCAGGTGCGGATTCTCGCTAAGTATCACCTCCAAGTGCAGCTTAGCGATGTCCTCGGCGGTCTGCTCCACCTGGTCCATGAGGGGTCGAAGCTGCTTCCTGCGTGCCAGGTACATATCTCGCGTGACGCTGTCGAAATCCTTGGCGTCCCCCTCTGGATCGGCCCGGATTTTGACCATCAGTTCGGTTCTGACTGGACCCGGCTGGATAATGCTCATCCTGTAGCAGCAAAGTTCGAAACAATGTGCACTTGACATGATTTTAAGTTTGCGCATTGATTGTAAACGAGAAATGTCACCAATCGTGGAGCGTACACAAATTTTTATCTATATACATGCGACAATACAATTTATTTGTAGTAAAATTTCAGTGAGATTCGTGGTGGTTTATCATCATGATGTGTCCTAGATAATACTCTGGTACGGTCTCTGCAGTAGAGATGCATAGTGCTTGATACCTTTATGCATGCATTGCCAAAATCAATACATACAGTATTATATGTACATTCAATGCGTAAACGCTATGCACATGCGTATGATCCCAGTCCAGGATCACCACATTCTTGATTATCTAGTCTTGGCTCCAAAACATCAGACCGACAAATCATCCGATCGCCGCTTATGATTGTAAAGTTTCACTGCCAGGCCTTGATTACCGCATTTCGTAAGGCCTATTCAAAGCAGACCATTGCCAAACGCTGTTTTTGAGATTTCTTCCGAGTAACGCATACAAACACAGAGGTTAATTTGAGCTAAAAAGGGCCATTCAACTGCTCCCATACCTGATATTGTAAGCGTCTCGCAACACTGGAGCGATCGACTCAGTGAACCCTTCCACGGCGAATTTGCTGGAGGCATATGTGGCGTAAAAAGGAGTACCTGGCGAAAGGGAAAGTGCCATTCGATTACCAGTAGCAGTAAAGTATGTACGGGTTACCGTGTTGAGCTGATGTCTACGCAGTACACAAATGGTTTCAGACGATATCTATCTGCCATGCAAAGCCACTCCTTGGTAGTGGTGATAAAGTAGTCTGATGAAGAATAGCTCCCAAGTTCATGTGACTTCATAAGGTTGAGGTTACACGCTTGAGTAGATCACTGTTGGTTGGCAGTTGCCCTCGTTGTTGCAAGATGAGGCACTGTAGCGACGCTATTTTGAAAGTATAAACACTCAGTAACTCAAGGGTAGCGTATTTGAATATAATTATTACATTAACTGGATCCATAAACAAGATAGCTCGACCGTTATGAACCCCATAGCACCATTATAGCTACCTCTCATTCTGAAAGATTAGCCTAGTTATTAACAGATCAGGATTTCAAGAGAAATTGAAACCACTCCATGTGCAGATAACACTACCAAGTTACTTACAGAAGACAATTTTAATAACAATAGTAACCCACCCCAACGAAATAAAAATCCACCCCAGTGGAATTGTAATCCGCCGCGGAAAAAATAGTTGTGAATTTTAGACACATACGTTAAAGCGAGTATGAAGAGATCTCAGTACAGGTTAGGTTTGCGATTACACCAAGTGTAACCTATCTATTTAGTGAGTGTTGTTTCAGAGTAGATCTAACTACAGAGTAATCCGACAAACCAGAATTAAGCCTTGTTTCCATATCCACGTAAAGAGACGCAGAGAGCATTGCCGAACAGTCCCCGACGATACGCAAGCGTACGGAACCACTTCATCGTGACAAACGCAAACATCGACACAGACAGTATGGAAAGTTGGAATAGGCTCAAGTTTGCCAACTGTCTGCATTGGGTCGCCAGAGATCTAGTCAAACATGCACATGACGGGCTTACAACAATATCACTTTCGCTTAGAACCACTCATTTTGCCCATTTTGTCTTTATCTGTAATACATGCAGCCCCATGCAGTTTTCAACATCACACTTGGGTATCAGTTGGCTTCATGACCTGGTATTGCCACTTGAAATTTTCTTTCGCGTTTCAGGCTTCTTTTTTTTTAAATTTGGGAGGAATGACGTCACGCAGCGTCACTTCAACGACTGTCTGCGTCTTGGTGTCTTGGGTGCCATATGGAAACTGTAGGCTTTATAGCAGTCATTACTGCGGTGGCACAACGGTAGCTCGCGGACAGGTGGTACGCACGCGTTACATACCTCTTCGACCAATAAGTATAAGTCTTCGTTCCAATTGTTTGAACCATCACAACTGAACCATCACACCTACTGTACAAGGTCTTGGATATTTTGTAAGGTTCCAGGCGGCAACAGATATGGTGATAAAGGTAGGATATGCATTATTCATATCACGTGACTTATGATCGGCGGGAGTTACGCACATTATGTTTCGTGTTCAAGAACTAAGTTTTCTTATTTAGTAAACACAGGCCAATATCATGGTGAACATATTTTAAGGATGTTTATAGCTAAGCAATCACAAAAAAATATGCTTCTATAGCCCGGGGCAGCAGTCAAAAAGTTGCCATGAGCGTATAAAACCAAAGAAAGGTACGGTCACGATGTGTGATGTCCCTGCTCGCTTTAGCTCTGCGAATGGGTCAATTTTTTCCCAAACCTGGGAATTTATCGGGTAAATGATAAACAAATAGCTGAATATGAAAAGTTGTTTTAAAAACAATCTATTGGTGTATCTTAAAGGCATGTTACAATGACCTAAGGATGGCATTTTCTTTGGAAACTTTCGAACCTCGAGATCGGGACGCCCTTTTTATTTTCAATTCTCGTTTGAGTGACGACATGAACTTATCTGAATGATTCAATACAAGGCTCAAACGAAGCTGTTGTTTGGCTCCCTTGAAAAGTCTAGGTAAAAACAATGAAAAACCTAAGACATGAAAACAAAATATCCAAAACCTTCCATGTGATAAAATTCTTGTTGCGATAGCTCCCTCTAATGGTGTCTGTGTGTGGTTCGTGTCACGGAATAACTACTGGAAGGTCTTGGAACCAAGACTACCAATAAGCTGCCAAAAGCAAGCTTGCGTTAAGTTTAAGGATGCCCGCGACAGTGTGGTGCTACCGCAATTATGGCGTCTCCTCAGATTAGTCTTTACCAATTATTCCGGCGACGCTAGTTACATTCAGTATTCGGCCTGACTTCTGTTTCTTCATCGCTGGTAACACCGCCCTGGTGGTTCTCACCACGCCCCAGTAGTTGGTATCCATCATGGCCTGACACCTCTCAATAGGCCACTCGTCATTGCCGTCTACACCGCTGTACCCGGCATTATTTACTTTAGAGACAGAAAGATACGAACGTAGTGGGCAGAAAAGACACAATTTCTAGATTACTGAGTGGTTAGGTATCTTGTTTCTCACGAGTTATGATGTCATGGATAGAAACGGTGTCCAGTGCCAACTTTGCTAAATGTTTTCTTCCCTTGTTTATTTTTATTAATTGGACGTGAAAATTCTGAGCAGCATCAACAATCATAAGAGTCTCGGTCCATAAGATTATTCAAAACCTTTGTGAGCTTGTTATGGAAGTCTACATGAAACGAGCCCTTTAACTGTTTTATTTTTAAAGTTGAGAGGTTGGATCATCTTGCAAATCAAAGACACTCTTTTGGGTGACATTTTTGTGGTTTGATCATCGTTTTGGGGAAATTTCGCCGCATATTTATAAGATAAATCTTCAAACATTAAACAGAAGTTGCTCATTTTCTGAGTGCGTTTTAGTGGAGAGTAGTGAGTGTTTCTGTCTGAAGCTAATAACGTGATTATCTGAGGGAAATTGAAATAGAGCACTCACTCAGAACGTCGATTCTCCCATTTTCCCGTAAGATCTCGTCCACCACAGACGAGATGGTATCCTCCTTAGTCACGTCGAGTTTTCGGATGAAGAGCGTCTTGTCCAGGGCGTTCCGGGCTGCTACCTCCAGCCTGCTCATTGACCCCAGGTTTCTCATTGTTGCATACACCTGTGAAATGGCAGATAGAGGCGACTGAATTTTTCGAGGAATTCTTGACCCAACAAGTTTTCTAAGTCAAAGCATTCATAACAACAGGCACATTCATTTGAATCGAACTTCTGTTTCGTTTAAACGGTTTACAAGGCTAAAGTGGGAATTCAATTTGAAATTGTTACTACTACTTTTCATTCTTTTTAAAAATGTAAATTGTGATTGTATCCTTGATACGGTTAAGGTGCCCCTATAAGGACAAATTTGTCTTTTTATTATCGTGAAATTTCGTCCGCTCATGGCAAGGAAAATAGGCCCTAGTAGGAATTTAACAGAAATACTTTGAAGCACTGTTCTTTTCGCATTTTATCATTCGCTGTTGAGCCGAGTACGACAGGCGGCCAATGAGAGTCAGAGGTGGTTCCACCAATCTCAGGTATACCTACCGAGACCTATTTGGCCGGGGAGAGACTGCAAGATGAAGACAATTGACAGTGTTGATATGTTATCCATTTTCATCAGTTAAACTACGGTCATCTGGAAGGTAAACTCCTGCATGGCAGAGTTGTTGACTCGAGTCACTTGACTGGGAGGCGAGTCGCACTCAAGCTCCTATTTTTCTGACTCGTGACTTGACTTATGACCAGCAGTTTTTGGTCCACAACTTTGACTTGGACTTGCAAAAAATGACTTGTGACCTGGCTTGGACTTGCACTTTATGACTTGTTACCAACGCAAATCAGAAAACTACTATCTAACCCATTAAAGTTTTTAATTAGGCCTGTCAAATCACGCGTTCCGTTCTTAAGATAATCAGCGTAAGACGTCGGCTCACGACTTCTACTTCTGTCTTGTCCGCCCAAGGCCATGTCTGGATCACTTGGCTGTAGTCTGAAATCACACATGACTATCGACTCCATCTTCAGCCGCGATTGGCATGGTCACAACCATAGACTCGTGCGTAACTTCAAGGCCATGTCTGGATCACTTGGCTGTAGTCTGAAATCACACATGACTATCGACTCCATCTTCAGCCGCGATTGGCATGGTCACAACCATAGACTCGTGCGTAACTTCAGGCCGTAGCCAGTGAAACCTAGACTTGACTAAGTCGGGATCCTCTGTAAGGTTGTCTGCGTTCATGCTTTGGATATGGAGGCTGTGCGGCGTTACTTGCTTGAGTCCATTTATTACTGTGAGTACAGAAATCCTGACATGACCAATCTGACAGCCGTTTGTACACAGCGAGTTAATATTTCCCCAAAATGGTAGCGGTCAAATCAAATTGCCGGACTTGATTTTACATCTGTCATACCTGCATCTTTCATACGGGGCTATCCGTCAAGTCGGACTTACTGATTGCAGACGAACATGTATGATACACGTTGTAAAATAAAGGCTATCAAATGAGGGCGCCTTATATAAGAGTTATGCGACAGCCCAAGCGTGACCACCGTATCGGCTAGCAAAGGAATGGCTGACTGGGGGAGGGCAACGTAAATCCGACTTGATTCAAGTCTAAGTGAAAGTTCGAACGCGGACAAGTTTTCATACAGATTTTTACACCGCTGTTTTCAACGACCAAGTCTGTTGCTTGGATGAGATTTGAAGCTTTTCATGGTGGAAGTAACAAGTAAACTAGATGGGTTTGCGGTAGCACCATAGATATATATCTTTTCTTTGAGTATGTGGGGTTCTGATAAGAACTGATTTAAGTCTGTTGCTTGATGTATTTATTATTACTGTGTAAAAGGAGCATGATAAATAGCAACTAGGCTTTTGTCTCATTACTGGCAATCATGTAGTCATGTTCATTAACAAATGGTACACCAACAGCCGTGGCGGTGGGTGAACATAGGCCTAAGTAGAAGACCAAGCATTCCCGTTTTTCTGGTATCTCTGAACCCGTTGAACCGTGTAGCCTGTGAATATGATTACGGGGCGCTGTTATCTGTCTAAATTTCCGGGTCCGCTAAATGTTCTCCTTTAAAGCGGCCACCGTAGTGTCACTTGAACCAGATTTACCTGTAAAGGTCAACGTCAATAGGGGGATCGAAGTTTTAAAAATCCGCAAATCCAAATTTGCTAGCATCAAGTGCACAGTTTCCAACCGTGCGTGCATGGACGTAAATTGACAAGGCAGGGGAAAGAGCTGTACATCCCCCACACCCAAGAACACTCACTTTTAGCCTGGTTGGTGGGCCATTTTGGTCCCCTTCCCCACGTTTCTGGGGGTAACAAACTTAATTGCAGCTTTGAACTGTTCATCAAATGTATAACATAATGATGGAAAGAGCGTACCGTGCATAATTCTTTGGAAAGATACCCCGCCGCGACCTCAGTTAAAATATATTAGGCACATTACGTCCGTCCACAGAAGATGTACACGTACGTGTTCACCATTAACAGCGCCTATCATCCCCCATCACTCCACTCGCTGTGGATTTCAGCAATTGTATCGAGGCCGACTCGCAGTCTGCAAAATAGTGTCCGGCTATTCCTGCCTTTAAGTTGATCGTTATGCCACCGTGCCATGTGGTGTTTAATAAAGCAGTTAAATAAAACAACCCTACGGGGGAACTACAATTCGTGGGCTATTTCTTGTTTTTAAGCAGTGGAGGATGGGTCAACGAAAGTATTATTTTAAAATCGAAGTTTATTTTGATTTTACTTAAAAGCAAACCACACAAACTACTCAACAAAATACACAATTTGAACCCTTGTCCGGTGGTTTTTCACATGAATTCGGTAAGCAGATTGAATTGAATAGCAAATCAAAATTGATGTGTGTGGGGATGAAAAATGCCAACTAAATACGAACTTTAAAAGCATTGATTATGAATCATTAATCAACAGTCATCACATAAAAAGTTTATTAGATAGACAAAATCTGACAAGTGGAACTTATTCATTTTTCCCGCTCATCACGAAGACCGAAGTTATCCCAATGTTCTTTACCTTGAATTCGTGTTGCTTCTCCTTGGCTAGACACACAGCCGTGGCTAGGCCGATTCCAGATGAGCAGCCAGTGATCAGTACGACTTTGGGCGCCATTTTGGTGTCTGTTTCACTCACAGCTATATCTGTTTCGTTGTGGCATGGGGTAACCTGCGATATATTCCTAGGCTCCTGCGAGGTGATTCAGCATTTATTTCACTCAGCCGTGTGAACCTGAACTTTGCTCGATTTAACCTCTGTATAGGTTCCGATACAAACCTACTCAAGGCAGTGGATTCGCGATGGTTCTTCCATTAACGACCCTGTTGGCGTTGGCTCGACGTGCAATGCGAAATTTACACTATGATGTTATCAGTGTTTGTCCATCTGCATGTAGGGGAAAGGTTCGATGAATTGTACGCGAGTGGTCATACCTACGAAGCCCCATAGCACAATACGCAGGGTCAAGCTCTCTTGAGACCAGTGAGTCGGATCAGGTTGACCCGATTAAACGTTTCTGAATGAACGGGCTTATCTCAAGGTATATTTTTAGAAACAGCATAAGTTCTGTTTAAACTTGCTTTGATAATAACGATATTTATCATTTACAAATGATTTATCACTGTCATTTTACAGTCATTTGCAAAAGTTTAAGACTACCTTGAATTTTATTGATACTTCTGTCACTGGGCCTGCATTACACAGTCTCACTGAATGATTACTTAACATGATTTTACAGTGGTGCATCAGTGTAGTGATATATACCCATTTGAATGGAATTTTTTGCAAAGGCAGGTCTTGTGTGACATTTTGTCTGCAAGGCAGCATGGGTAAAAAAGCCAGTCTAAGCAATCAGAAATAAGGGAGGGCACACTGAATATTAGACATTTAACATGTCAAATGTCAAAGTCAAAAATATTCAGCCAAGGTACCAAAGTTACACATTGAAAATAAAAACAGGTTGCCATGATTAATTGCTTTAAATTTGGTTTTCCTTCAGGATAATGCATTTTCTATGGGTGGTCCTAAACTTTTGAAAATGACTGTAAACCTATAAGTAACCGTCATACTTCAGTTTGGGTTTAATTCACAGTATTTTATGTGGCCAATTTCATAGAGCTGCTTAAGCAATTTCATAGAGCTGTTTAAGCACATGGTTTTGCAATGATGTTCACCTGTTGTTTGGTTAACATGAAAATCAGATAGATTTTAAGCTGGTAACCTTTGTTTTTTAAGAAAGATTTTTTTGCGCTTAAGCAAATGTTGTACTTAAGCAGCTCTATGAAATTGGCCCCTGATATTCTTCCTCATTTTTCAGAATATTTGTCTTCGTTCCGAAGCTATTTGTCACGTCAGACGGGCCTGTATGCTTTGTGGTGTGAGAAATTGCCCTCTGTTAAGCCTCAGATCTAAGTCGACAAGTGACCTAATGCCAGCAACACTGCTTCGTGGAGTTCCCAGCTTTAAGTTTTAGGCATCCGCACAGACACGAGATTTATTTTCCCGCTGGAAAATAGGAAAAAGCTACCCTGTTTACATTCCATTGCAGATAAGGGCGTCAGTAGATAATTGTCTGGTTTCCCATTTCCGATCAACCCTTATTTTTGTCTCTGACCAAGGGAAATGATATGACAATAATAATCTTAAGAAATGTCAGGGACAAGCAAGCAATTCCTTACTATCCTACCCCTTCTGATAGGATAATATTCCTTACAAAATACTTGCTACCAATATCATTCGGCGCTCTTTATTCATCTCTTCTCAAAGTCCCAATTTTGTCATTTATAATCTAATTTGTGGACTCTATTTTGCATCCCTAGCGTCCCAATATTCCTTTAATTAAAACAATTCCATCCTGTGTGCATTGCAGTCCAGAAAGCAAATAACACGGCTATGACAAAACAGGAGAAAGGTATTGTATGAGAGCCTTCGGTCAAATTATGATAATGGGATGGGATTGGATTGTGGTTAGCAACCCAGAATATTTACACGAAATGATTTAGTTACAATATAAAAAATTACCGTGTCATTTTTCACGGTGAAATCGTCTACGAGGAGTAACCGTAAACTGAGCAATTGGCACGCAGTGCTTTTAATTAAATGGTAGCTGCAATGAATTTTTCTTTGACACAAATGTTTCTGCCACTTTGTACTCTTCTTTGATGCATGAACACTCTTTTGCACTCCCATTTAGTTAAATGCACTGAAAAAATGCACTTTTTTATCACTTAAAATTAGTCAATGAATGCTTTCCGGGGCAACTGGGGACGCTGTTGCTGTGATGTCATCCAGGGAAGACATAGTCCATTACGTAAATCTTACTATTAAACTTGTGAACTCTGAATTCACTTACTTAAAACATTTCTGAAAAAAAAGCATCGGTGCTCAATTATGGCTACGCGCACAATCACCAACGAATCAACAAAAATTACAAAATGTCGTTCACAAAAAATCTATTAAAAAAATTCAGGACATTGTTGTGTACAAACTAATGGGACAATAGACTTTCTCCCTGGGATGACATCACAGTTTTGTGTATGAATACTGAAATATTCTTTAGCGTAGAAACAAACAAAGCAGCAGAATATTCTTTGAAATGTGAAACAAAAGTTGAAAATGAGAGTGAAATAGAAAAGTGAATTTTGAAGGTTTGTATTCAAACAAATTTATTAGTGCTAGGCCTACACTCTAACGGGCAAACCCATAACGCCGTGCATTATTGGATTTTGGCAATGCATGGCGGCAGCCATGAGTGCTTCAGTCTCGTATATAATATGTCACGGTGGAATTCAACTCTCGAATTTTTCCACATTACTAGATTTTATTATTCTAAAAACTGGAAATATTAAAGTCGTAAAGGCCTAAGATAATGCACTCACTCCCTCCAGTGGCCTACGCAGGATTTGTCTTTGAGGAGTCGGACCTGAATTTGCCCTAATTAGCTCAGTACTAAGGCCAACCCTGGCTGCACCACAGGGGACTGGGTTCACAGCTATATCAGAGCTGGATGTAATCCAGCATCCCTCCAAATAAATATGTATTCCAGCAGACTTGCAGTGAGACAATAATCTATACTAATATCAACAATTTTACAATCAAAGTTCCCATAAAGTCCGAGCTGCCTTGAAAATTTACAATTAACATTTTATATGACAGTAAAACACTTCAAAGATGGCTAGGCGTAGCAGGGTCTTATTGTTTCAACACGTTCAGCAGTGCGTCAGTGGTAGGATCGGCCAGTTTACCAGCAACCATCTTAGTCATAGCCTCGCTAGTCTGGTACCGCAGGTGCGGATCCTCGCTGAGTATCACCTCTTGCAGTAGCTTGGCGATGTCCTTCGGGATCTGCACCACCACGTCAACGATGGGCTGCATCTGCTTCACCTGACCAAGGAATAACTGTCGCGTGATGTCATCGAAATCTTTGGCGTCCCCTTCCGGATCGCCCATGACCACGTCCATCAGGTTGGTTTTGACCGGGCCCGGTTCGATTATGCTCACCCTGTAAAGCAAGGGGGGAAAGACGCAAGTCGACGACAAATAGAACCGACTGTGTCTTTTGAAGAGTCAGCAGGGGCAAACTTTAACGTGAAGGGGAACAAAATACTCAAACGAAACTGGTTACAATGCTGGACGCTGCATTGCTACACCGTACTTCACGCTCATGAACTTTCACTGTTGGACTTGATTCAAGACGTTGCATCTATCCGGTGTATATAAAATAATTTCCCCAAAACCGCAATTTCTTGTCAGCAGATATCGCGGCACAAATACATCACACATCGGTTTTACAAGAAAATACACAAAAAACAAGATTTTTGAGGTTATTACGATCCAAGTACCTGATGTTGTAACCGTCTCGTAACACCGGCGCGATCGCTTCAGAGAACCCCTCGACTGCAAATTTGCTAGACGTGTATGTGGCGTAGAAAGGAGTACCTATGTCATAAGAAAATGAAAATGGACAGACTGTCAACTACGAATAAAGCACGTATTCCCCGTCTCGACATGAAGTCTACATGCAATATTGCTATATGTTTACGGTTTACCAGTGAAGTCACAATGATTTAATACCCAAAAAGTAGCACATTATCATAACTGGCGTAAATTCCATCCAAACTATTTTGTTGCGAGAAAAAGTTATTTTCCTGTTAACCCCCAAACGTTTATTTCTTGATATTTCACCCAATTTTGAGATTAACTTGGATATTAAAAGGTCGGTGTACCTATGATTCCGGAAACGCTGGTCACATTCAGTATTCGGCCTGACTTCTGTTTCTTCATCGCTGGTAACACCGCCCTGGTGGTTCTCACCACGCCCCAGTAGTTGGTATCCATCATGGCCATGCACCATGGCAAAGGGTTTCGGTCGTTGCCGTCAATCCCACTGTACCCTGCATTATTCACTGGAATAAAGTTGTGCGAACGGGTACAATGGATATTGTTTTTGTCCATGCACGAGTTTCACGAAATCCACCTGTGGAGTGGCACTGTTGGCACTTTAAACTTTGTCATTGCATCTATATCACCCCCAGTTCATCAGATCAATAAACATTGCTAACACCGGCCAGCTGCCTATATGGACTATATGCACCTTTGGTGTTTCGATTCCACTGCGCAAAGAGCTCAAGTAAAATTATTACTTCTGCCTGTATAATACCCATTTACTTCTAATTAAGAAGAACCAATTGATGTCAGAAATTGTCGTCCAACAATCCAAAGGTTGACGCATGAGCAAGACCCCAGTCCCAAGTATCTTCCATAACAACCGCTGAACCCTAAAGCGCAAAATCACCTATACCCAGGTCTTGAGATCGACGCTTCTCTAGTCTCGAGACGTGGGAATCATAATTTAACCGCCGTTAGGAGAGAGACTGGGGGATGGACCTTCTGCCCCCTTGACATGAACACGACCTTCACCTCAGTAGTTCTACTTGTTATGAACCAAATTTAGCCTAGAAACTTGTGTGAATGTGCCACAGGAATCCATTGCTAAAGTACTGCAGCTCGTCACTTACCCAGGACGTCGATTCTCCCATTTTCCCGTAAAATCTCGTCCACCACGGACGAGATGGTGTCCTCCTTAGTTACGTCGAGTTTGCGGATGAAGAGCGTCTTGTCCAGGGTGTCCCCCGCTGCTATCTCCAGCTTGGCTGATGACACCAAGTTCCTCAGTGTTGCGTACACCTTTCAAAATGATTTTAAAATGGCGAATAAGGGAATACATGGCGATACATGCATGGCCGTGACCAGGTCATTGCAGTAGGCGCCTAGCTTTAAAATTCCCATGCTCCTCCAAGAAAGCCCCCGTCTACTCTTAAATATATTACATCGGTTTTTGCTGGAAATAGTGCACAATTCAGTGGCGTAAATTAAAAATTGGGGGGGGGAGATGACTTGCCTGGCCATGGAAACGTGTATCACCATGATACACCATATAGAGGGGAATATGTTCATGATACAGATGTCCATACATCCGTAATGGGTATCAAAAGACATATTTCTGGCTTTCAAAAAAATCTTTTCCTTTTTTAGTGATATTAAAAAAATTTCAGTCTTTGGGAAATCTTAAAATTTCTTCAGTCTTTAATTTTTTTTTCTCATCACAAAAAAGGGGATGGTTCAGTGGTCCATCCCCTTCCTCAGTCAGTGGAGATAATACATACCCCCATCCCCCTGGCATCAGTTGATCGTTTTTAGCACTGCGGCGCTGCTACTTCACAATGCAGGCAGAGGATCAGAATGCAAGCCTCCACGCAAGTAAAGATCAGAGATGTCCCTGTGACTTACCTTGAATCCCTGTTGCTTTTCTTTGGCTAAATACACAGCCGTGGCTAGTCCAATTCCAGTCGAACAACCAGTGATAAGTACCACTTTGGGAGCCATTTTGCTGTTACACTCAGAAAGTGGATGCTTTTCCAACTGCGGCTGCAAAATGTGCTTTATTCTCACGAGGCGATGCATAAGCTCACGCGCATGTCAACGCTGAAACGTAACGCAATCAACCGTTGCGACCATGACTTTGCAATATGCACTGATTGTTGGAGCTTCGAACGTGACCTTCCATCACAAAGGGCACTACTTTATCAGCATTTCGTTGACTTTCTCCATTGAATCTGTCCCAGTATTTGCTGAGCGTGCGCTGTGAAAATTTACTCTAAATATAGCCCCCCGTTTGGGCTACCTCTTCCTACCACGGCTAACCAACCACAAAAAGTACAGGTCGGGAAGAGTAAACTTTAGCGAGAAGGGTCAGTTGGGCCTGATAACGTTGCTAATCGAAACCCCATGTACATGTATTTCAGTGAACGGCAAGTGCCTAACTAAATTCTCCCTGCACACCCTTCAAGTCATTCGTAAAGGTATATTGTACTTCTATATTTCAAGCAGCTCTAGGTAAAGCTGATATTTTCCTGTCTTTTGGATTGCGAATCCACCATCTATTATAGAGCAGAAATTTCAAATATACTAAAATTCGATTCTGATATAGATTTAATTTAATTTGTGTTCACCGAACTTGTGGTAATTGCAGATACAATGTATAATGAACATAGAACTATGGCATTTAACATTTACAGTATCACGGCAAATATCACCATGAATACTTGTTAAGCAGCCCACCAAAACAAAAGAGTGGCTGACATGAAATTGGAAATATATTTTCGTTTTATTTCAAATCCACCTTTCGAAAATGTTCTCAATCAGAAAAAAGTGGCCCTTCTTCAGAGTTTACCCATGGGCTTCCAAAATCTCCAGCAGACATTTTTGCAACACTTGGAGGTTTCGTCTGATATTTCTTTCAGTTTCGGTGCAATCCTCTTGAGTTAAAATTTCATCCTTAGTATAGCGTACTTATGGGATGAGGAATCGGTTGGGGATAAATAACAATAAAAAATGAGAGGAAAACGGGACAACAAAAAAAATGGAGGAAAATCATCAATTTGGTTGAAAATCCTTCGGAAATATCAGCTTCCACCGTTCATACTTCTTTAATTGTAGCTGAAAAGTGCTTTGCTTTCCTTTCCCTGTATTAAAATCCCTCTGGAAAATCCCAGCAAGAATGAGAACGGGGGACGTCTCCCTCTATATTTTCTTGTGGAGAGGATGCCACTTATATTCCCTCACTAAGTTTAGACTCTGCACATTTCTCATGGCGGCTAGATTGATCCACAAGGGCTGATCAAGAAGAGAATTTCAGGGGCGGACTTGTTTCTGGAGGCCAATAGAATTTTGAATTTTTTTCACGTTACCTTTTGTCGTCTTTCTGAGGCGGGTAAGGCGATACATTTAGGGCTTTTTACACACGGTTTCGGAAGAGAGAGAAATCAAATAGACCCCAAATCCCCTTTCATCGTTATTTTTCAAAAGAAATAGCTATCAGTAGATGTCTATTTTTGGAATCAATTCATTGCATACATATTATTGTTTACCCAAATTCCCGTTGATCAAACTGAATTACTTTTGGGCCATGACAAATGCATTGAAGAATGTGCTGACTAAGTGCTTGATTATCGAAAATGCAATTTTCCTGAAACACAAAAGGCAACAAAACTCAATGCATAAATCAGGTTTCATCGACACCGATTTTTAATGCCGAATTTAATCATAGTGTGTTAAGTTCAATAATAACTTATCACTGTAAAAAGCGTCTACAACAAGATTATTCTATAAGAAAGCCAACATACAATATGAGCTGAACTCCAAATATAATTGTCACTACTATTTCCAAAGTAGAAAGCGAACACAATTAGGGAGGAAACCCCTGTTGTGACAGTCATGATAAACGCTACAAATTCCGTGATCATAACGACGAGATACTGTTTACGCCATAAACCAAGGTTTCATTAACTACGTTTTATCAGGTGACACACAATTTGAGTTTGCCTTACATGGTGATTATCTTGAAATCTAAAAATTAAATACATTGACAATGAAATAATTTAAAACACTTTGAAACACTACCACGACGTTTGCGTAGGCAAAATATGTGGAGATCTTTTTATACTTGGGTTTACCTAGGGTACGATGCTACGTAGTCTTATTGTTTCAGCACATTCAGCAGTGCGTCAGTGGTAGGATCAGCAAGTTTCCCTGCAACCATCTTTGTCATGATCTCGTTCGTCTGGTACCGCAGGTGTGGGTTCTCGCTGAGTATTACCTCAAGATGCAGCTTGGCGATGTCGTCCGCGGTCTGAACCATTGCGCCTAAGAGGGACGCAATTCGTTTCCTCCGGGCCAAAAACAAGTCTCGCGTGATGTCATCGAAATCTTTGGCGTCTCCTTCTGGGTCGGCTTGGAGTTTATCCATCAACACAGTTTTGACCGGGCCTGGCTCAATTATACTCACCCTGCGACAATTAGAAATTTTTGAAATTCGGGAGGGTTGGCCCAGGCTTAACTATGATTGTTACCAAAGGCAACAGAAAAGTTTTGTCATTCAAAAAGTTAAACAAAAAGGGAAAAATCTGAAATCGTGAGACTGTTTCTGGTGGAGATTTATCGATGACTGAACCAGTTATTCAACAATATCCCATTGCCCATCGGCTGTATTCAACGAAGTAAAATACAATATCATTAAGATTGAAGAACTCTTTACACCCAAGATAAAACCGTACATTGTGGCTTTATAATTTGAAGTAATACCTGATATTGTAACCATCTCGCAAGACCGGTGCGATCGCTTCAGAGAACCCCTCCACTGCGAATTTGCTAGACGTGTATGTGGCGTAAAAAGGAGTTCCTATTCGACAGGACAAAATACTTCTGCATCAAAATATCGATTGGAGTAAAGCACAGGTTTCAAACCGTCCCAAGATATGGTTTATGACGACAAAATTACACTAAAATGGTATTTGACTGCCTCTATCTGCTAACAGAGTACATGCAAAAAAACTCAAACATTTTAATGGCATTACTGATCATTGTTGGGCAAACAAACAAAATTATGAAATATTGTCATACGGGAACTCTTAATTATGTTAAATGTCAAATATCAATGCCGCTGTGTCATTGGCTTCGATTGTGAAATTGCCAGTATACGGTACCATTCTTATTGAATGAGAAACACGCCAATATAGACTTTAAAGGAATAGATAAAATCCACGTGAAAAGAATACAAAACTTGAGATGTCAATTTAAGTGACAACAATTCCGAGGCTAATTTTCTCATTTTTAGCAAGAATATATCGATGAATTTTAGCACGTTTCAAATACTCTAGTACTTTTAATTTTTCGGTACACATGTATACTTTCTTAACTTTTAAAGGTAACTAGGATTTAAAAAAAGAAAAAGAATTTCTGCATACCTATGATTCCGGAGACGCTGCTCAAATTCAGTATTCGACCTGACTTCTGTTTCTTCATCGCTGGTAGCACCGCCCTGGTGGTTCTCACCACGCCCCAGTAGTTGGTATCCATCATGGCATGACACCACTCCAAAGGCTTTATGTCGTTCCCGTCGACACCGCTGTACCCGGCATTGTTAACTAAAAAAGTGATAATATTTTGGGGGGAAATGGGTATTTTGGAGTTGATACACGCACGCATAATTGGGCCACCAACAACGGTGCTGAAAAGCAACTAGCCATTAAAACAGCCCGTCGGGTCAAGTATTCCTAAACTGACTCAGCCCTCTTGGAAACGCACAGTCAATGCCTAAGACTGAGAGGTAGTGCTCAACGCTCAGTAATAGAATAATGATCAGGTCTGCCCCTCCAGATTTAATCTAGAACACTGAGAGAAGCTTAATCACACACTCTCTCCAAGTATACAACAACGCCAAACTTAAACAAAAGCCATCTGAACCTAAACGGCAAAAACACTCCATTCCATACTTTGCAACACAGTAGCATGGTGTTTGAACTATGAATATTCAGTGTCATTGATGTTCATTACAATTACGGCATAATATAGGATAAACAGACTGGCGACGCATTTGCAGGATAGTTATCAGTAAAACAAACCGTGGGAGTAACTACTGGGGGAGTTCATCATTTGTCGCCGTTTATCAGCTTTTAGTACCCTCGAAAAAACTTAGGTGCACCCTAAAAATGTCATCCTAAACACGCCATTGGTGAACACAATTAGGTCTACCTAGAACGTCGATCCTCCCATTTTCCCGTAAGATCTCGTCCACCACGGACGAGATGGTGTCCTCCTTAGTCACGTCGAGTTTGCGGATGAAGAGCGTCTTGTCGAGAGTGTCCCCAGCTGCTGCCTCCAGGCCGCCCTTTGACCCCAGGTTTCTCATTGTCGCATACACCTTTTAAGTGGTAAACATAAGCGATTGCAATCAAAAGGGTAAGGCCTGACTATGCCGTTGTCTGTAGTTTCGATTTAAAAGGCACCTCAAACGATTGTTCCTCGTGCTTCAGTCTTGGAGGAAGACTTCACAGAAAATCTGACATCTCGTCACATCATCAGTGCATGTAGCACACAATCTAATGCTACGTTCATCACTACTGAGTTTAAAATGCACACAGAGAGCACGTATATATAGGCCTCCACGAGAACATAACATCAGAGTTATCCCAACATACCTTGAATTCATGTTGTTTTTCCTTAGCTAGATATACAGCCGTGGCTAGTCCAATTCCAGTTGAACAACCAGTGATCAGCACGACTTTGGGTGCCATTTTGTTTTTGTAAACTTGGATTTCACGCGCTGGACAAACGTGTGCTGATGCAGAGCCTACAATAATGTGTCTACTCAGTTGGAAGTTCGGCTTTGTTCATTTGACCTTTGGAACCCTGGCATTGCGATTATTCGGTGTGACCTCTGAAACCAGCAACCAAGCTCAAATTAGACCGAACGGCTTGTCAGTTAATTAAATAAAGACTGACAAGCCACTCTCGCAGTTTAAGTATATGCCTGGGTGACCATTTTTGCATATTTTCGGTCAAATTTGACGTATTAAAAAAGATTAAGATTAAGAAATTAAGATTTTGACAAAAGACTTAGCAAAATGAGTATTTTTAACAGTTTTCTACTAGAATTTTAAAAATACTTTGATCCTGGCAGAAAATTGACGAGATATATTTTTTGAACAAGTTCTTTTTTTTTCAAACGAAATTCAATTTTGTTGAATTTCCAAACCCATGCACGACGGGACAGGCAAGCTAGTTTATTTGGTGATGCTTTCTTGTGCCCATAACGTCATACTACCCAGTCTAATTTCCCTAAGCCTTAATCAACGGCTGTTACATGTATTTATTTACCGATCTATATAAATGTATAAATTGCTTATGATAAATCATTTCGAGATTAGAGATTATTTATTGTTAACATGTACATGTGATTTCAAGCATTTACAATGCATTTTGTTTTATTTTAGATGATTTGAGAGATGTTTGTCAGATTTAGCAGAATTGCCCCATTTTCAGCTGGTCCCCCGATGCATGAGTATTACATGCACTCTCATGGAGGCCACCGTCTTTCCCGCTGAAGGCTCAATGCAATTGGAAAGAAAAAAAATTTATTAGTTTGAAGAGCCAACATTACCTGCCATTTTGATACATTTTTCACATTCATTAATCAGTCCTTCCTTTGGCACAACAGAGAGAAATGAAATGAGGCTAGTATTTGATGATAGAAAATATTAGAAACTACGTGGTCGAGCACGTCGAGCAAACAGCTCTGTTTTATGTCTGCTTAATTCTTTTAAAATCAACTTAGCGTACAAGGGGGAAATAAGTCTGCAAATAGTGTAAAGGGAATAAAAACATTTTTTTTCATTGGGACCGAATTCTCGTTGATCGAACTGAATGACTTTGGCGGCATGACAAATGTATTGGAGAATGTGCCAACAAAAGGCTTGATTATCAAAAATGCAATTTTTCCTGAAACGCAGAAGTAAACAAAACTCAATGCAAAAATTCAGGTTTCATCGACACCGATTTCTAATAACGAATTTAGTGATAGTGTGTTAAGTTCAATAATAACTTATCAGTGTAAAAAGCGTCAAACATCACACGGAGATAGCGGGCATCCGTACTAGGTACTAGAACAGCGCCACCTGTTTGTAAGTTTTGGATTTTGATTTGTGTTGAAGTTGTGGCGAAGAAATGCTCATGAACTTTGTCTTGTGTGGGTTACACCTCACGAAATTAGCCAGCCTCCATTTCTGGATGTCATGGAAGCATGTGATGAGAGAATCAAAAATCTTAGTATCATCATCTTCAAGGTTGGGACTGAAAGAAGTGTATAGCTGGGTGTCATCTGCATAAAAATGTGACTGGATATTGTGTTGCTGAGGAATTTCACCAACAGGAGTTGTATAGAGAGTAAAAAGGATCGGACCAAGAACAAACACGATTTATAAAAAAAAAACCACTCGAATGGTATTTTTAACTGCCTTTGTCTGCCAACAGAGACTACGCAATAAAACTGAAAACATTCTAATGGCCTTACCGATCATTGTTGGGCATGTAAAGAAACAAAATCCTGAGATATTGTCATACGAAAGCTCTTAGTAAATCTATCAATGATCTTATATTAAATAACAAATAGCAATGCCAGTGTGTCAACGGCTTCGATTGTGAAATTGCCATTGTACTATTCTTATTGAATGAGAAACACACCAATAACAATTTTAAAGGAATAGATAAAATCCACGTGAAGAGAATACAAAACTTGGGATGTCAATTTAAATGACAACAATTCCGAGGCTAATTTTCTCATTTTTAGCAAGTGTCGATAAATTGCCGCACGTTTCAAATACTCCAGTACATTTAATTTTTCGGTACACATGTATACTCTCTTAACTTTTAAGGGTAACTAGAAAATTAATAAAAGAAAAATAATTTCTGCATACCTATGACTCCGGAGACGCTGCTCAAATTCAGTATTCGACCTGACTTCTGTTTCTTCATCGCTGGTAAAACCGCCCTGGTGGTTCTCACCACGCCCCAGTAGTTGGTATCCATCATGGCATGGCACCACTCCAAAGGCTTTATGTCGTTCCCGTCGACACCGCTGTACCCGGCATTGTTAACTAAAAAGAAATAACCTTTTTTTGGAAATGAGTATTTTGGAGTAGATACATAATTGAGCCACCAACAACGGTGCTAAAGGCAACTAGCCGTTCAAACTACACATCACATCAAGTATTCCTAAAAATGACTCAGAATTTTGGAAATGTACGAACGATACCTAAGAGACATAGTGCTGAACGCTCAGTAATAGAATAATGATCAGGTCTGCCCCTCCAGATTTAATCTAGAACACTGAGAGAAGCTCAATCACACACTCTCTCCAAGCATACAACAACGCCGAACTTAAACAAAAGCCACCTGAACCTAAACGGCAAAAACACTCCATTCCATACTTTGCAACACAGTAGCATGGCGTTTGAACTATAGCATTATATTCAGTGTCATTGATGTTCATTATTATTACGGCATAATATACATGTAGGATAAACAGAGAGTTGGGGAAGATCATAGGCTTCCCATGCACCTCCTGTATATTTTTCTAACTTACATTTTTAGAATCGTCAGAGTGTGTAGTTACTGATGTTCTTCGCGTCAAATATGTCCCATGAGGTTCGTTTGGCGGCCATCTTGTTGGCCACCTTGGTGGCCATCTTGGATTTTGGCCATTGACATCATTTCCTACTACGTATCAAAGACAGGCCAATGATCGTTTTGGGGTGATTCGTGCCTATTAAGCTATTAAATTATATTAGGAAAACACTCCTGACCAAAACCAAGGATCCTGGTACAACTGTGCACGTGTTTCTGTGTGTTTTTCTCTGTGTTTGTTTATTGTTCGTTGTAAATGTTTTGTAGAGTTAAGAGTTTTCAAAATAAAACGGTTACTTCACTTCCACTTTGTGAACTCAAAAGGGAAGTAATTACTTGGTTGTTTTTGTATGAGTGATGCATCAAAATGACCTCAAAAGTCGTGCTGACCACTCTGGTTGTTCGGCTAAAATCGGAATAGCTACGGTTGTATGTCTAGCTAAGGAGAAACAACAAGACTTCTGTACTTTTGTGTTTCCAGGGTGACCTACGTGTTTTCTGCATGCACAAAACTGGACGTGACTGACGAAGGAGGACACCATCTTTTCTGTGGTGGATGAGATATTACGGGAAAATGGGAGAATCGACATTCTCGGTAAGTTGCGCTTATAAGATGAGATTTGTGGGGTGCACACTTTTTCCAGAATGCACCAAAAGCTGATGAACTACGACACCTGACCCTGGTAGATAATCCACCAGTTTGTATCCCGTAAATGTGTAGCCAGTCTTGGATTTCTATATTATGCCACAATAATAATGAATAGTATTTTGTAGTTCTTCAAACAAACACTGTGGTGGTGCATAGCATTATACTCAGCAATGCATGGGATGGAGGGATACCCCCCCCACACACACACGTCCAATCCCTATACACACCCTAGACTATTGTTGCCTAACGCACCCCCCCATGTCTGAAAAGAATACCTGAGATTCCGATCAAACAATGACCAACACAAAGGTGGGTCTACTAGTATCCAACTTAATTAAAGCGACCTATGAACAGGCAGCATGTGTGCTTGTCATGAACCAACCTCTTCGCAACAGCCTGTGTAATGATCACCGCCGTAATATGAAATAGGTATTTATATCCACTCATGATATTGAAACCAAAGTCTACAAAATTTAATATTTACCCCGCCTTTCAAAAGAGTTCATGACTCCAACATACATTTCTTCGCCTTTAGACGTCCAAAGTGCATACTACGGTGTTCTATGCAGGTCACATTACACTGCGCGATGGATTGTTTGGTTGGTTTGGTAGTAGGCTCCAGTTTTTGTGTTTTCTGGGGGGAATGATCACAAAAGGTCACCAAGTCAATTTTGATATAGCCTGAAAGTTGACCTCTGAAAGTAACCGCTTTTGGGATCCGTGGTCAGGGAAATAATGTGCAAATATTTCATTAAAATTCATATTTTCGCTATAAGTTTAGAACTTTTTCTGAATTATTTTTTCTAAGTATTTCTCTTTCATTAACTTATTTAAAAATGAATTAAGAAAAATGCCTCTGTAAAATGTTTTACGAACAAATTAATTTAAATAATTGAAAATACGCACGAGTCTATGGAAGTGGCCGAAGCCAGTTCCCATAGAGTCATGTGTAATTTCAAGCCGTCGCCAAGTAATTCGGATACGGCCTACTTTTCACTGAGTCGTGGCCTACGCTCTTTGTTAATAATGACTGTGATAATCACTATCCCTTTCAAGAAACAGTTCGGCACGACGGCACCATACAACGGCTTGACGCAATGTATTAACACAGCATAACAGTATGGTGTTCTGTGATGCCCAACATTGCGTCGCCCCGACGCTACGACGAGACGCTACGACGCGACGGTACGACGGCTCTGTCGCGTCGTACCGTCGAATCAAGGCGTCGCCTCCTTTTTCGTTACTTGTATGCTGTGTTTAGTGCATTATGCCGTCGTGCCGTCGCATCTTGCTCTCCCTGTTGCCTCTTTACTGATGGAGATAGGGGACCCCCTTGGAGACGGAGTCAAGTTCCATACCAATAGATATTTCATGATCAAATCTTGTAGGCCCTATGCACGCACATTATTTACTCCAGGACTTGTGACATACGCCCTCTATTGGCCTTAATGATCACCAGCCATTTTAAGAAACAGTAAGGCACGACGGCACACAATACGTCGGACGACGACGCCACGCGACATCATGATGGCAGGATATGACATAAAGACGAGCCGGGACCACGCGACGGCACCAAGAAACAACACGACGCGACGCCACGACGGCAAGACGCAACACATTAAACACATGATAAAAGTAATGAGAAAGGGGGCGAAGCCACGACGCGACGGAACCGTCTTAGCGTTGTGTCGTAACGTTGGGGCAACGGCACGACGTGATGCGATTTTGGCGGCTATATAACACCATAAAACAGTGATGAAAAAGGAGGCGATAGAAAGAGGCGGCGCATATTTAATTTTGGCGGCTATAGAACACCATAGCATGGATAGAGTCATCATAAGAAGTATGCCGAAGTGCGTACTGGTGTCTGATGCCATTGCACTATGCTGTTTAACTTTCAATCATTAGCGAAGAATATCATACTACGACACAGCGTTTTAATTTGCCTCACATATCGGTGTCCGACCCATTAGGATGGACGTCTTCTCACTTCTCCTGTTGCTAGCATCGACGCCACTGTTATGTTATATCTTAGTTCATTATATCTTGCCGCGACCCCAAGATGGCGAGCCTCCCGTTGGCCTGTGGTTCCTCGTCAGATACATCTGGCTCCGGTGGGCCCTGTTTTGGTCCAGGCGCAAGTCCCTGCACCTGAACCAACGTGTAATGAGCTACGACAGAATGGTGGCCAAGGCGAGAGAGATGAGCAGATTGGAATTCGGCACGGCTGGAACCCGCCAGACACAAGTAAGTTGGTAGCGATGGCGTGTCATTTACAGAGCACCTTGACGAGTGTCGCTGTTCAATTATTCGGGAAAGAGGCCGACTACAAAAAGTTATCATCCTTTGAGAACGACCCCAAAGACCAAAACAGTACGGTCTCTAAATTTCAATGGATCATGGAGCAATAACTTGGAACTGTGCATCTTCACATTTGGTAGCGGGACGAAGAAATTAGCTGTAGTGGGGAGTTAGTGGAGCCGGGGGTACTTGGTTTGGAGGGATATATATGAGCACTTGTGTTGTTGTCAAGCCTTTTTCCCAAACCTGAATTCAACGCTACTTCACACTTAGGTGGATCCATTCAGTACCTTGCCGCAGATGAGATGTGTATGTGAAAACATATAGGCACTTGAAATACATGAGGTGATACTAAATGTTTCGAGCAAAGCACTTTAAATGCTTAAGTATAAAAATGAAGTGCAACTACCCCCACTTAGTGCACTTGTATGCACACATAGGTATGTACCTGCTGCACCTGAAGTGCTCAATTAGCAACATACTGACACTTGAGGTTGTGTTAAATATTTGAAGTGTACCATTCCATATGCTCTAATCATTAGTTTAGTACCTGAAGTGAAATTATCCCTACCCCATGCACCTGTGTGCATACGTGTACTACGCATGACATTTTCAAGTAAGATACTCTTTGAGGCGCGACACCCCATGTGCTTGAAGTATTAGTTGGGTACCTAAAGTGCGTTTGCTCTCACTTCATGCACCTGTATGTGTACATACATATGCACATGCTGCACATAAAATGTGCAAGTATTATATGGTCACCCGAATTACCCGAGGTGATATTAAGCATGTAAGAGCCCTTTCACGAATACTGACATTAAGTGTCCATGGTCAATTTTTGTCATACTTTGTAGGATGCAAGGACTTGGGGTGCAAGTAAACAAACAAGACTTTTCACATCCCTACATAGCTTGTTGCTTTGGAAACAGTTCATTTTCTGTGTTTCACATTTTAGACCAACTTAAGGCTTTGAAAAACTGGTTTTTAGCTTCGATTTAAGTCCACCTAACCAAGATGCAAAATTATTTCACAGAGCCAAGTATATCAGTTCAAAGTGTAATCCTTGCCTCTACTAGAAAATAAAAGATTACTTCAAGTGTTATCCTTATGCTATTTTTATAATGGTAAAAAAATCCTTTTACTTCAAAGTGAGTCAAAAACCTCACCAGATTTCTCAGTGGCTAAAACATTATTTTTGCCCTTTTGTTAGCAACTTATAGTAGCAAGGGGTTTTGTTTAACTTACATGGAAGGAAAAAACGTGGAGTGGAACACCATGTCGCGATCGATCATAGGAAAAGTATCATTCTGTGGTAT